TGAGTAGGAGAACAAAAGGGTAATTAACAAAATTGAAGGATAGATCCATAATGCATATTCACGAATCGCCGGCCGTGGGATTAGAGATACGTAGCCGAAATACAATTGAATGTTACATTAAGCGAGACATTTTGCATACCAGTATTATGATTTAAGGGCCAATAAAATGATACACTATCTTGTGGGACACGGTAAACCGTGGACCTCATTTTCAGTTTGCGTTGCCATGCCTTGTGTCTCAAAAGTTACCCTATTCATCACCAAGTCTCGTTAAACGCTTAATTCCACAACCGTCGTGAGGCTGCATTCACTTAATTAAGATAGATATTGGTTGAAGAAGATCATCGTTTCAAATCGTATAGGCTTGAAATTGAGACCGAAATTTTCTGACAAATTTTCGACCCGAAGCCAACCGTTTAAACTAGATAGTCCTTGATGTCGTTATCTCACAGTTAAACTCAGAATATGTTAAAATTCGCCCTTAAGTGGCGAGTTTTGCCGTGAGCTTTTCAATCTAGCGGCTCTTAAATAAAATATTCTTTATCATTTCTCTCACCGTGACGCAATCGTGTTCAAAATAAACCTGTAAACGACCAATATACAGATATTTTGATGTGTGATTATCAAGAAGCGTTTTGTTTCCTTCCTTGAGTCATATCGGTTCCACTTACGGAGCTGTTCTTTGCAGACTGTAGAGGTCTTGGGAATAAAAACTCCTTCCTTACGAACACATCGAAAATTTTAAACTATTTAACTAGAAGAACAGAGCGTTAAGTATTGAAACTGAACTGGTTTAGTTTGCTGGCGTTTCACTGGAGGGGTCCTTATGGTCTTTACTCGGTTAAACTGAACAAAAACAAAGAACACGAAAATTAACTGCAAATGACCTCAGTCTAAGGCTCGTTGTTACATAGAACGTTTTAATTCTTAGTCGGTTACAGTCCTTGCTTTCGAAGTGTAGCAAAAACCTTAGAAAAATACACATTAAGGGTTTGTTGACGAATGATTTGTTTTTCATGCAGTTTCTAGAATGGCTCAATTTGTTTGAATGAGCAAAGAATTGAACGTAGTTAATGGATTAAAAAGTTACTTGTACGTCACTGAAACAAGTAATTCAGTACATGTGATTTTTTGTTGGGTTGCGATAATTGTAGTACAAGCTAACCGGTAACAATTATAAAAACCCCATATTGGGCTCTGAAATATCCCATTAACTGGAAACTGTATGCAACCCTATCAATCCTAGAAGTGATCAGTACCTAAATTCTCTCAAAGGAGGTAACAAGGCTCAGAAAATTATCTTTTGTGGGATATAGACACCAAATTCTCGGCCCTCAGTCTCAGCATCGCCGCAAGCAAAGGATTGTTTCTTGCCTCCAGTTCTTGAAAAGGAAGGGTTCAGTTTGTTAAACACAAAGAAAATAAAGTCAAGACGCGAATAGAAATGACCGGCCTTGCGTTTTCTTCCCATGAAAATGGAAAGACAAATTGAGCTAAGATGTTGCTAGGACGCATAGCCACCTCTTTCCGTATTCTTCACCGTTATTTACATAGTCGAGGTTTCATTGTCGATCGACCACAATGACAGAAATCCAAAAATTTGCACACGCCCATTGGCTGAGGTTATTTCCGTCAATCCTAAATGTGCAGAAGATCAAATTTAGGGTAAAAATACAAAATCAAATGTCTTCTATTGACTGATGATCAAATGATTTTGAGTGCAATTTGTAATAAGCCGGGACCCACTCCCTAACTTTTTCATAAACAGAGATGATTAGCACTCGCCCTATGTGCTCTCGCAGCCACTAAACCTAGTCTATGAAAGTTTTACTAACAATCACATTTTGTGAATTTCTCTCGAAACTATTTGATGGCTTATTATTTTACCGGTTCTAATAGTTGGCAGCTTTTTATGAGCAAAAACAGGAAATACCACATAACCAACAAAACATGGACGGGAAATGAATTGAGGTGTATTTAAAATCCCGGAAAGGATCAGATGTGGCATATCTGCTCTTGTTAATTGAAAGGGCGGTCCGTTTGCGGAGTTCCCTGTTGTTCACAGTCGGATATGGTTTGGAAAACATTCGATGTGATGAGTTTTTGTATGCAAGGGTCTCTCAAGTTAAACAAAACGGTTTCTAAGGTTATATATTGGTCAGTGGAAAAAAAAACCGCCAATATCACCTTACTTATCATTCAACGTAAAATCTTGTCAGCTCTAGAAAAGTCCAGAATCTCATTGGCAGACCAAAGTGCTGGCCAGACTATAATAAGCCCTTTTCGTGCGTCAATCAATGACCCCCCTTACACTTTTTCCAACATTGTATGGACTTCAAACTTAATATTCGAATCGTCTTTCCTTTGAAAGCTTTTTGGATACACTCGCGTCGATATTTGGAAGATGAATGACGTTTTCACCGTCTGTCACCGCCTTTGTTCTTGTTGCTTTTTAAACAGTCGTTATGTGGGTGTAGAATGCTGAGTAAATATCAAAATATTGAATCGTTGGCAATTTAACGACAAATATGCGCACTAACTGGCTGCAGAATAAACTCGAAATTCCTCATAGTGCGCGGTTATGATGTATCGAGCGACTACGATTCTGAACTTGTTTTTCCTTGTCTTCGTGCTGTATCCAAACTTCTCGTTTCTTCTAAAAACAGCGCCAGCCTAGACGGCGAGCGTTCAACTAGAGAGAAGCTCCCTCGAGCGGGTGTTGCTACAGTCTCGCGCGCTGAGTACTTCTGAACTCATCGGAATCGTGTATTAAGTTCACAAGAAACCCCCCTCCCTCCCCATCCACATTATATTCACCAAAAGCAGCTAATCTTTACGCACGAATTTCTCAATTATTTCAACATCTATATCTGGTTATTAGTCAATTTGTTTTAAGTAAGGATATAAACGGAAGAGAGTTTTCCTTTCAGCCCGAGAGCATCCACTGAGGTGTTTACTTACGCGATTAGCCATCACTTGGCCAAGCGAAACAATCATCCGTTGATACTTTGAACCAAGAAGTTAAGAAATACGTTATCTTTTTGAAAGTGTTACCCTACTTAGCTTCAACCTACTTTACAGGAAGCCCACTGAAGATGAAATAAAAGTAAAGTAAAATATCGGAGAAAGGTGACTATGTACATACGAATAAAAACTGACCAAAAAAACAACGGTTTACAGCCGAGTAGAGTGGAGAATGAGTATTAGCCTACTCTCCGAAAAGGACGCTCCATTGTGACTTACGGGAAGCTTTCCCGTGATTACCAGCGATATGCCATCCAAAAGAAAGAAAATCACTACTTGTCAGGTTCACTAATTTTTCTATTTACCCTTAATAATTTTAGCACCAAAGAAGCGAAAGAAATATTCTATTTGATACATGACGTTCTGCCTATGTAATTCCGTCTAAACGGGTATTGCTGCAGAAAAAAGTTGCCTCAAATTTAGATATTCAAGGCAGGTGTATGTCTTCCGACGGTCGTCCAGTCAAGAACAGACGGTTTTCAGTTTGAGTAATTAAGCGGCATATACCACAACTTGGATCAACTTAGCAACCTAGTGGCTCTTCATTAGTGAAGAGCGACTCAACGTCGAGAGATACCGTAATTTCATTGTCATGTGTTTTCTGGTGGCTAATTGCAGACACCGATTACTTTACTAATTGACTATCGTCGATTTTCCTGCACGAAAGAATGATTTTTGGAAAAGCAAGGAAGTTGAAGTTAAAAGAGAGGGCTGCAATAAATGATCCTTAACACACTTGTATTACATGGAAACATTTTATTTGCACTGTATGTTATAGTTAATTTAAAATTTTCCTTATAACGAAATAAATCTCTGGTTTACGTTTAACTATAAGCAAGAAAAACGCAAATTTGCGTTTTCAGTTATTTACACGAATATTTTTTAAGCCCACCCATTCGTCCGCATATATCTAAATATCAAGCGCTAACTCAGGACGTCCCTTAGCGCGACCTTCAGTGGAACCTTCGGCGCTGGATGAAGGCTGGCGCATGCGCAATGAAAGCTAGTTGCTCCGTAGTTGACCTGTTCGAACAGTTAGTCCAACCCTGGGGTGTTTTTCACTCATCATGTCTGGCCGAACTAAAGAGCTGATCTCTGACGATGTAAATGAAATCCAGATGGACTCCCCTGACGAGTGGAGTGAGATGTGCTTTTTTCATGTGATTTCAATTCCTGAAGAATTTAAATTAGTTTGCACTATTGCTGCAATACTGGGTACTTAAAATGCAAATCGTTTGGCGAAAATTCTGTAGTGAAATATTAGTGCTGTTTGGGGTCAGACCCTTGTCAAAGAAAGGGCCATCTCTGTTGGTATTTATAATCAATCAATTCCATTCATGGCCAGTTCTGAGAAACTAAGCTTAACAATAACTTCTGACCTACGGGAAATGAAGAAAGTATGGTAACATCAGCCTTAATTCCTACAGAGAAGGATAATAAAATCTCTTTTGACCAACGGAAAAGAGAGGTTATACTTGATATGTTTGAGATTCTCCAACAGCTTTGGATGGGAAATGAAATGTTAAAAGAAATACAAGTTAATGAGACTAAGAGGAATTTCTGTGTTAACATCAACAAAAACATGAATACCGGGCATCATATTATTTTGACGGATCAAGTTAACGGAGCGTTGACTACGTCGTTTTGGAATTTGCGTGAACCCTACATTCATTTGTAGAGAGGCACGATGTGAAAATTTTATAATGAAACTACATCAGAGTCCCCTTTTCTCAAACAGTATGATAATTCAAACCAAAATTCGCTTCTCCTTCCCTCAAGTTCAAGTGCTGTTTTCGCACAGATAAATGATCAAATCGAATTCTTTTATCCTTATTCAGAAGGTTTAAAAAAGTGGGATTCTAGTGCAATTGGACCTGATTTTAAGGGAGTTTTTCCATTTTGACATGATGTAGCTTGCATTTTCAGACAAGTTCATCGAATGTCACCCGTGTGAATCCAATCTATCGTAGCCCATCTTCCTTAAAGCTCAGTTTATTCTTGAATTCTTCTTATTCTCTCTATTGTTTACCTACCCCATATGACGATTATTTCACGATTTCTATCTAATTAAAGACGATTTTATGACTCAAAATGAATCAAAATATAGTCACATCGTTTCTTTAAGTAAAACAGTTGTGTCCAGATTGTAAGATCAGTATGTCTTGTATCTTTAGTACATCTTTAACAACTCCAAGTATCCCTCCACACTCAATCGTGTCCCTGGTGCGGTGCTTGTTGGGCTGATGCTTATTCTACTATGAGCGGGAATCAGTACTGCGCCCGTGAGAATAGAGCCTTAAAAGAATGAATCAATGAAAAAGAAATTGAAATACACTGACCACGTCAAAACAAGCTAACACAAGCCATCATGCCTAAGATTTGTTTGAATTTCTGAGTGGAGCGCATTCTGAGAGAGGGCCGGGAAACGAAAGTCAAAGTGATCAAAGTGCTCAATCAGAACAAAGATGAACCTCACGTGTAGCCAATGTGAGCTCAAACTTCAGTAAGTGTAACTGTAACCGCAAGTAAAGGAAAGTGCGTGTGACAGTGTCGCTTCTGGCCTCAGTTTTGAATCTCATTGGTTGAGGTGTGCACAACAACGATGCAGTCCTGGTTTATTTTTCTCACTCAATTGAGAATTATTTTCTACCGAGGCAGTCAACAGAGAAGATTCTACTCAACAACACCGTTATTTACCAGGTCTCCACGAACCGGTTCCTTCTCCTTTCAATCTAGCCGCGGAAGGTTGGTATTTTGGAGCAGAGGAAATGACACTTATTCTGTGATGAGTTGGTGATTTACCGGAACTGTTAAACTGCAAATGACATGACAGGTGAACTGGATAAGTATATGTATCCAGATTCTACCAAAACATCAAAAACCAGGAAAGAAAACAAAACAAAACAGAAACACATAACAAGATCAAACTTTTTTCAGAAGGAAAAAAACTTAACTAAACAAGCTACACTGCAGTTGACGATGAAAGTGATGTGGGTAAATTCTGAAGAAAAAGACCATTAAAATTGTCGAGATGCCACCAACGTTTGAAGCATGGGCTTAAGTTTTGTCAAAGGGGTTGTTGGTTGCATCCACGTGTGTGTTTACAGCTGTTTGCAGAAAGGTTGTCGGAAAAAGAACGAAATGCAAGCGACAATCTCGAAAGGTAATCTGGGTATCCGGTAATAAATGAATTTTGATAAGTGGAACAAATAAATATGGACAGAAGGACAAATGAACAGGGAAAAGTATCGACATGCACGTGAATAAAATAGCAAGGTCACTTCGAATTCGCTCTTGTTGAGTTTATATCGCTGTTGTCGTTCATTAGGGTCAGTTCATTCTTCTATTCGTTTTTCCTGGTTATAGTTAAAATTCAGTGTTGCAAAGAGAATAAATTAATCAAACCCCCTTAGTCTAAGCCTCTTCCTTACAGTGATGTGGATTTCCCTGAAATCTCGAGGTCAAGGAACCGTGACCTGAAAACTACCAACAATGCTTTTCAGGGTTGTCATGTGCAAGGAAAAGAGAATCGCGGAAAAGAACAGCCGGAGAAGGTGGTGCTACAATGTCTTGCCACTTTCTTGTTTGCCTTGATGAAGACCAAGGCTACAACTAGTCAAGTTCTTCACAAAAATTTACTTCTTTCGACTATTCATGGTAAGAGTTTATTTGTCGCCAACTCGCCTCTAAGGAAAGTATGCGGGGACAGATGGGGGAAAGAGGAAAGTGACTCTTCCTATATCCTGCTGCCATCCCATTGTTCTCTTCGTTCCTTCTATCTCCTCGTCCCACTCTTACGCTTATATGGACCAAGAAGAGACGACTGGATACGAGTCAGAATTGAAAACCAATGCTTGGGACTGAAAGTTCCCGAAAACTCACAGGAAAAACTGTTCAATAAGAAACAGTTGATTAACAATGTTAGATTTTCACCTACCAGGGGGACGGGTTCTTCATCAATAGTGACTTGTAGGGAGGGTGGTGTTGTCGTCTTCCTGGAGAAGGCACCCACTGAGAGCCTGATAGCAAGATAAAAAACGATGCTTACATGAGGCAGTGAAACGTTGAATTTGTATGAAGGAACAGTTTAAATTCTAGTATTCTTCCTATTCTATTCTAGTAATCTTCCTTGCAATACTAATACGCTGTCAAGCAAAAAGGTCATGAGAATTACGTTATTTATAGTCGAAGGTTTGAATTTTTGATGTAAAATTAAATTTTCTGGTCAAAAACCATTCAAGGTTCTTTGTAGGGTGAAAACCCTTCTAGATTTCGAGAGTTAAAAGGCTGCACGTTCCAACGTGTTGGGGATTTTACGGTAATTCCGAGAGGAATTTCAGGTTGAAACGGCGTGTAAGCAAGACTATTGTAAGCCACAAACCTGAAGTAATATTATAGTAGGGGCTTCTTAGTAGAGGCATGTAGTATACACCTCTTCTCAGAAACCCCGACCAACAACCCATGGCACACCTGATAAAAAAAGTGTTGTACAGTGATTCTACTGAGATCAAAAGAGAAACTGAAATAAAAAATTACCAGTAACACCCTCCTGTCGTTATTACCACATATGATTTGCCTTTCTCCCAAACCAAGCTCCGTGATTCAGTGTTGTGTATCTGAGAAGTAAAGTTTATATCGTCTGTGTGTTGATCTGCAACACACGAATGTGCCCTAGGGTACAAATTTGACACGCCGCTCCAGCGCCACCTGAAATCAACCATTGAATGGTACAAATTAATGATCATTCAAGGATTTTGTTACCAATTCCTTTACTGCACCCCTCAGCCATGTTAGCCTTGATCCAAAACTTTTTCATCATTCTAAAGCGTTTTTGTAATCCACAACGACTTCTCTTTAACCCTTTAACTCCCATGAGTGACCAAGACAGAATTTCTCCTTACAATATCAATACAATATCAACCAGATAAGGGATGAGAATGAGAATGAGAAAAATATCAATTTGAGGATAATTAGTTGACTCTCTGAACTAACATTATAATAATTGTCTAGTTGACAGTAAGGGGAATTACAAATTTGATCTGAGAGTTAAAGGGTTAAATGCGTCACGTGAAATTCATTACTCCACACAATAATTTTTCAAAACAGGTAATGTAACTGTTACTGCTACTACTCTGGAGTTGAAGCCACGTTATACTATTTGAATACCAAGGCATTTGAGGTAAATTTCTGAACCAAATAATATGATCAAAACCAACTAAGCAGAGAACAATCGTGGCTGTCATTTCCTCTGTCCCTATCCCTTTGATAGTTTTGTTAAGTTGTTGTGTAAAACATTTTATCCGTGCGGAGCCTTTACTACAAAATGTTTCTTTCACTTTTTTCCTTCACGTAGACACCTTGCGTTTTCTAAGATGGAAGGTGTCGGTAACATTGGGGATAAGGCCTGGTGAGCCAAATAAGGCCTCTCGCCTCCGGACCAAAATAGAGAGCTGATCTCATGAAGGAGTAGCTTGAGAGAAACAAAAGAAAAGTCCTATAAGGTCGCGACAAAATAGAGAAAGTGAGTAGTTTGAACCATCACAAATTTTTGGGCAAAATAACAATTTTGGTAGTTACACAGCTCTCAGAATAAAATGCAAATAAGATATCTAGTGGTACAGAGGAACTAATCACATGTTTACATGGCGCGCTTCCAGCTCCAAGTTGGCTTGTTAGTTCAGTTGGTAGAGCACTACACCGATATCGTTGAGGTCATGGGTTCAACTCCCGTACAGGCTTGAATTTTTTTCATACTTTATTTTCACTACTGCGTAAGTAGCGTTCATAACTGCAGAGATCACTATTTAATTCAAGGTCAGTACTATTGTAGTAAATATTCTCAGCATTAGAATCCCCCAGAGGAGTCCCCTCCTACTTCTCCAAAGTAATGAATGAATCAATCTTGCAGTGTTGTTTAATTCCAAGTGACCTTACCTTCCATGAAGTTGGACTTTCTGACTCATAGCCTCTGTCCGTTTGTCGAGCGTTGCATATGAATGGTGCACTGATGTGTTGATTTCAGACTTCATGAACAAAGCAAAAATAATGTTATGGAGAATATCAAAGTGTGTGGGAAATATTTTCAATTTAGACTAACGGCCATCTCCAGGTGCTGTTAAATTAGCGTAGTTACCAAGATGAATTCATTTTTTTGGATGACTCCGCGAGCCGGCGAGAGAAAACGAGCGCTGTATTTTAACAACAGTCTAGAAACTGCAGTTTATATTCTCTTGCTTTTAATTAGTTACCTGAGCGACTCGCCTGTGCAACTTATCATATTGTACGATTTACTTCGACCATCCTTACCATTCGGGATTACCCGCTCTGACCCCGCACACACACAAAAAAAACCCAAAACAAAACGAAGTAAACTCCTCTTCTTCTAGGGTCAATATCACACATATACAGGGAAACATTAACTTGAATCACCTGTTTATTGAGAGCTGCGTGGATCTCCTTCAGTGCCACTTTCCATCCAGTAATGTCCTCATTCCCTATAAGCTGTTCTGCGACCAAGGACACGAGCTACAGAATAAAGAGCCAACGTAGTTATGCTGCTTTAACATTCAAGAACACATAGGCGGCTAAGCCCTGTAAAATATCTTCACTAAAATATGATCATTGGAAATTTTGAAGCGAGAAAATATCGGTTTAACAGATGACCACACCTCATCGTCGCCTCGTTTGTTGCCGTCCACCTGACGTCGGTAGAGCGACATGTCCTGTTTAAGGTGAGCTACTTTGTCGTCCAACTCCGACATTCCTGAGGAAGAAAATCAGTGAAGAGACGTTATAAAAACAAGTAACCCAACGAGAATTATCGTGACCCTCAAAATAATCCTGAAAGACCCTCCCGCGTAGATCTCAACAACGGCTACATTTCTGATTCAGTCAAAAGTAACCCGGTGCGTTTAGATGAAAGAGTTCGATGAGCAGAACACTACTTCTTCCTTCTCTCGAATTGAAAGCGGTTGCGTCACGATCTGTCAACCTTTAAAATTTAGCGTTCAAAGTTGTATGGTCGTTAACCTTAGTGATGTAAGTTTGTGACCCACAAGAAGAGATGACTAGCAGACTTGGGGTTTTTGTTTTACTTTGCCAACATCATTTCGCCAAACCTCCTGTCGGCTTTTTTTGAGATTATGACTTGTTGTCACATTCTTTAAGCGTTAAATATCGTCTTGGAATTCTACCTTACACCAGACCGTCCCCTCAGACTTACCTTTCGCTATGTGTTTAACTTTTTCATTTTGTTTGGCAAACTTTAAGAAAGAAAAAGAAAACACTTTAACTTAAGGTGATTTCAAATAACCTGACAAGTTACCATAAATCACAGTTCCATGTCTCCCGTGTCCGAAGAGCCGATAAATGGTCGAAATTAAAGAAAAAGTATCTTAGTTTATCAAATAAAGGGCTTGACCACTTTTCACTTCTACGAAAACAAAACAATGAGAACTTCCCATCTTAAGAAACAGTAGTATTTTTACTTAAACAAAATGGAATGGTACAAACTTGTTTCTTTTGTATAGAGTTGACTCAGTTATTTGAGAGAGAGTTCCAGACTTCTATAATTTAAGACAACAAACTGGTTTGATATAAACTGAGTACTTTATTCGGCCAGGGCACGGTGCAAATTGGACGAATCCAGTAGCATGTACACTAGCGATATCATTATTCGCAAGGGAGAACGCCATTACTTTTAAACCGAAAAAACAGATCTTCTGTACACATGGAAAGAACTCTCGGTGATCAGGAGCATGGCCTTATACAAATGATAATAATCAACGTATTTCAAGGAATAAATGAAGAACTAAGAACGAGTCATCTGCGTACATAGGTTGTCCTGTACCGTCTCATTAAGCTCTAAAGCCAAACAAGAGTGCTCTTTGATCAAGTTTGAATCTTATCCATCATATACAGGAGCTATGTACATAAATTAAAGAAAAAGAAGAGAAAAACAGAACAAATTGTGGGAATGTGTTGTTGTATTCAGTTATGGTCGTTAATTTCTTGATAAATCCCCAACCTGTTCTGAGAGCGAATCCACATTTGAATGAAGTTTCCCTAAGGAATCTTGTTTTCCTGTCTTCTTCTCGTCCGAAACTGAAATGAAGACATGTGGCGAAAGACATTTTTACTTCCGCTAACACTTTCATCCAAGAACGCCAAAGCCGACTAATTTTTACCTGTATACACCACAAACGGAGTGTTTAATCAACAGAGCGTTCTCAGATGTCTGAAGGAAGAAAGCATTCGCTTTCAATGAGAACGAGGAGCGTTTCTTCGTCCAGTTTGAGTTTAAACCAATCAAGGGTAAGAGGGACCTGAGGTTTCAGACGCATATAGTAAGAGACTCTCCCCAGTATTCCGCCGGATTCCGCTTACCTGGCCGTTGTTGTTGGCTCATCAGTTCTTTTGCTTTTTTATCAAAATAGCTGCGACCCTTTTGCGTTACGATGAGGACTTCATATCTCAGTCACTCAAAGAAATACAAATAGGAAAGATTGCATGACTTGCAATGACATATAGACCAGTTTCAAGCTCACAAGTAAATTCGCGACTCAGCCAAATTTGCCCACAACTTAAAAATATCTTCGTCTGTTATATGACTGATTATAAAAAGAAAATAAATATTACGTAGAATGGTTAAAATATAAGCCTCTTGAACTCGGAGAAAAGACTCGTGGAGAAAGAGCCAGCAATAAAAACTGGTTTTACTTGTTTACCTTTTGAAGCTGATGTATGGGATACTTGGCTCATCAAGTCGTCATACAGCTCGATAATTTTTCGATCAAGGCTTGCAAACTGAAAAAAGCGATAATGAAGACTTTTCAGCAGTGATAATAATGCCTTTTGGCGCTGTAACAGATATTAAAATGTCTCGGTTGAACCTTATCAGAACCACACACATAAACCTCTTTTTCCTACCTGATTTCTGTTTGGGCGTTTAGGGAAACGAAGATTACTGCATGTGCAAATTCAAACAAAAAATTAAAAAAAAAAAAAAAAAACTGAAACCTCTAAGTTAGAATTTTTGTGACCACATTTCGCTGTCACCAAAGTACGACACCACAGCGGATTTCCAAAGTTCGGATTTAAACAATGGAAGCACTCATCAATCATAATTTTTGCAGTACAAATACACTGCACCTTATCGTCAATTCTTTTAGCCAGTTTTCTTTCAAGCTCTTCCAAATCATCGGTGTGTTGGCGGTAACTGACTTTGTCTGTCGTACTAACATAGATAAAAAAAACGAACAAACAAGTTTTTGAGTAAAGGAAAAGTAGTATTAATTCTCTACATTTACGATACCCTTTGAAAGTGTGCATTACGCAAACCGAACTACAATATCGACATCACTGAACACTATTGCTTATTCTTACAAAACCATTCAACGGAAGCGACTCAACCCGGTGTATTAAAGTTAAAAATAGCGGAAGATTATGTAGGAAGAGACATTCTCTAAATTAGAAATTATGTTTCTTTTGAGATACTATATCTCCAACATCAATTTTCTTCCGTTGATTTCTGACAGGTTTTTGGGAGCCGCCCAATAGCAAACGCTACCTAAGAGTAGTTTTTCTCTAGGTCTCCAAAAGTAATGGAGGCTGTTTCTTTCGAAGCCTCGCGTTTTTGCTACGTAGTTTTCGCTGTCGTTCTAATCGGCTACTCTTATTTATTTGTATATAAGCTTTGATAAGATGTCTCTAAATGTTGCGTTCGTAATAATTTTTCAGGATGTTAAATTTGTTGTAATGAAATATCTTTTGTCGTTTATTTATGATTTCTCACCTTTCCTTTGCAAACTTCCTAATAAGGGAGGGTTGATTGGCCATGCGGTCTGACATTTCATCAATAATATCTCCCCATTCCGACACTAAAGGAATAAAAACGCACAATAATTTCTGATCACACCAGCCTAAACACTGAATGCAACAAAGTTACCGCATCACACAGAGCATTTTTTGAGTGTCGTGAACCAAAACCCCTGGAAGGGCAATCGTGAAAAAGGCAAGACAGAAAATAAAGTAATAGTAAAATAAGCGCAGAAAAACTCGAAGACAAAGTACACCTCAAGCGCAGGAAATTCACTCACTCATTCACCTTTTGCTTTAAAAGCAAATTTACAACTAAGTGTGGAAAGTTATCCAGAACTGGATTCTTCTGCATTTTTGCTATCTGTGATTGGTCGAGAAAACTTGCGCCACCCTCTTGACCAATCAGATGCAAAACTAAAAGCAACCACGACCTTTTCACTCGTAATTTCTCGCACCTCAGGCAGTTTGCTTGTTTTTGCTTGGAATTATCATGGGCTCCTAGCGGTGTTTCCCTTGTTCTGATTGACTGCTGTGCATACCTTGGTTTGGGTTTTACGACACTCAATCGAAGGAAACTATTAAATTTTGATTGATTGGTTGAGAGGATGGTAGGAGTTTTTCTAAACAATCACAGAGTAAAGCAAAGAGTAAAACCAGTGTAAAGCAAATTCAGCGCATTCGAACGATGCAATGTAATGCGAAATCAGAGCATGCCGGGATATGCTTCAACACTCTATTGAACATTGCTGCAAAGCAGCCTTTCCCATAAATTTCTAGCCTGTTTCACACAGTCCGTTTCTTTTGTAGGGAAGAGCGGTATATCAAGGTGGAGTGAGAGAAAGAACCCCGCCCACTCGCTAACGGCACGTCCTCAGTAACAGGGAGTCTGTCCTAAGTTACTAAATGTCCATCATCTGATTACAAACCTTAAGCTCTATCGCAGATCACTGGGTTTACGTTTCACTTCAAATTTTAGAACTGTTGCACTAACCTTGATTTTCCAGCAACTGAATCTTTGTACTCAGCGCAACAACTGAAAAAGTGACAAAAAGGGACCTGGCTCCTTTAAATGATTCAATGATGGTAAAATTGTACTTACAGTAAAAATTATGCATAACGTTTTCAAGTTTCCTTTACCAGAATAACTGGAACTCGGTGATGGACTGTATTTGTGCAATTCAGAGCCCTTATGTGACCTCACTGGTGGCATATGTAGATTATATGGCTGACTGGAATTTGAACTGATTTTCCCTGTGATAAAGAAACAAACGAATTAGTTTTTTTTTAAATCTCTGAAACTCCAGAGTAATGCAACTTTTTTGTCACTCATGACGTCATCATTTCCCCTCACACCACCCTTGAGTGATGTTATCCCTTTTGTCAATTACGCCATAATCCAAAAATGACCTGAAGCTGGGTATCAACTACTTCTCTTATGTTATACAGCAGGAAATTATCTTTCAGGTGATGACTAAACTTGAATGATTGCCATTTGTTGCTTGTGATAAAACATGAACTGTAGGACCTTTGATTTGGTAGAAAAATTGATTGAAAACTTCCTTTTACACCCATTACTGCTTCAGAGTGAGTGTTAATTGGAGTAAAAATTATTTCCAAAATTATGTTTGACATTCTTGCACAGAAAGCAACAAAAGCATCTTATATTTCTATGTTCCAGCAACATTTATGATATAAATCTTAGAAGCAATTTGGCTCAAAGGTGGCCACACACAAACATCCTAACAAGCAGTTTTCAGCAAAAAGTCTTCAACCCTTTAACTTCCATGAGTGACCAAGACAGAATTTCTCCTTACAACATCAATACAGTATCAAGTAGACAAGTGATGAGAATAAATAAAAATATAAATTAAGGGAGTGTAAGTTGATCCAATACCAAATTCTCCAAACAAACATCATGAGAACTGTATGGCAGACAGTAAGGAGAATTACTAATGAGATCTTGGGAGTTAAAGCATTTAGTTGGTTAGGGTTTAGGGTACTTGGTTTTCCCATTATTCTCTTTCTTTCATGATCATGATTTGCAATCACCATCACTTTCAATTCTTGTTCATCCTCTGGAAACTCTGATATTTGCTAATGAGTAAGGTTTAGAGTTCAGAGTTCTGCCTCTGTATTCCTTCCCTTTGGGAAAGCTACTTTTCCTTTAACCCTTTGGAGTCCATCTGAGAGTGTTAGAGTAACTTAAGAGGAGTTTAAACACTTTCTCCTCAGAGCTCATGGCCACGCATTATCCAAATGTTTGTTGTGAGAAGTCAAGAACACACCCTACTGTAACTTCCACAAACCCCTTAACTATTAAATCATTTTGTTTTCACATCCACTTCCTCTTGAAGTCCAACTCATGTGCTCATATTCACATCTAGTTAGTACACATACTGAATCATTTTCAATGTATAGTATCATTTTCAAGCGATCATATCATTTGTTAGATATTATATGTATATAAAAAACTAACCTTGATGTTCATCAGCGTGCACAGTGGAAACTGAAAGGTCCAGTTTTGGTGTCTGTTCAAATAAGGCAGTTCTTGCTTGAGGAAAATGTTGTGGGGAGGAGTAGGGCTTTGCCGGGGTACTTGTGAGACCATTTGGACTGGAGACTGTGAGTCAAATTTAGGATCCAACATGTCACTTCAATTAAAACAAAATACCCTCAAAACTGAAAATGAGCACCGTCATGGTGGTGCTGTGATCAACCTTCTGAAGACAAAGTATCCTACGTACTTTAAATATTGAGTCTCATAAATGTCCCGTTTGGTAAAGTTCAGTCACTGTCTGACCCCACATAGGCATCAGACCATCATTTCAACCACGCAAAACTTTGATGTAGCTTGGGTGCTACTTATTGGATATTTAACAACACTCCAGACACATTCATAGTCTCATAAATGTAAGTTTTTTGTTATAATATTTAAAAGACAGTAACATTTACTGCAAGTATTGACTAAAAATATAATCCTTGGTTTGGTTATAGAATCACTGCAACATGTATTCCACAGGCAGGCGAAGTGGACTGATAGTGAACTAATAGTTGACAGATACTAAGTAATCAACTTCTCTGCTAATGGTTAACTGACACTCAATAGCTGTCTATGACAGTCATGCAAGTTTACTTAATGGACATGATGACATTGCTTGAATGTCAGGCTGTCATTGACTGACTGGTGGTCAACTATTTACACAAAGTTTTACTTGCCGATAGTGTTACTTGTTATAATATTTGGCAAGGTTCATAAGAACAGGCTATCACTTATTAAAAATTGTCAGCCATCACAACAAGCTTTCATCATTCAAAGTACTTGCCTATGGTTCTTTGATGACTCAAATCAGAAAGTGGCAGCATTCCATTAGCAGCACTAGATATACCAGTACTGTTAATTAAAGTGGATCTTGTTGGCAGCTCATGATACTCAGTCCGGCTTGACATAATTGATGAGGCTTCTGATTGGTTGTCTGGTATGTCATCTGTATGTAAATCTTTCACTGGCTCCTCCTCTCCATTAATGTCATATATCTAGGGTTAGTGAGTAAAAAACGTTTTAAAGTTCAAATTAGAAACACCCTATATTTCAAGAATTCTTCATTTATTCTGAAATAATTTTCTTCCTTCTCATCAAAAAGATTGCCACCAGATAGTAAGTGCCACCCCCAGTCACTGACAAACTTATGAAACTAATAAAAAAAAGTCTCAGACCCTTGTCAGAATCTTTTATCCTGAGGAGAAGCAAATGAGAGCCTGAAAATTATGAAACTGTAAACAAGAAATCTTCTGTAGGTGTCTTGTAATCCTATTGGTCAATTGTTTCTTTCAGTTTTTTTAGTCATTATGTGATCATGGTAGCACTTTTGACTGACAGTGAAGCCCCACAAGTAAAAATAGATTCCAATCATTGACGTACAAGCAGTACTACAGTTAGGTAGGTTAGAAAAGCTTTGTTCCATAATACTTATCATCTTCCAGGAATATAACCCAGTTCCATAGTTAGTAGTTCCAGTTCTAATTGCATGAAGCAACCGATAATTTTATTGTTCTCCATCCTCCCCCATGAGATACTAGTCCATTACAGGTTACCACCTCCCCTGCCACTCTCCCCAGCATCTCACCAGGTTTCATTGACAGTTCCCATTTAAGTTACTGGGCAGAGGATGTAACTGTGAGAGTTGGACATCTAGCCCAAGAAAATAACAAAACCTTCTTCTGAGGAGCTGGAACCTGCTCCTTTCTATATGGAGGCCAGTGATCTAACCACAAGGGCCACAGTGTCTCCAATTTTCCACAGTCAAGTACTTACATTTAAAAGAGGTGGTACTACTGCAGGGCTTTTTCCATGGGAAGTCAAGAAATTTCTTAATTCTTTTATGGAGCCTTCATGAGACTAAACAGCAAAAGAAACAAAAAATACCAATGAATGAAATCTGCTCAGTTTCAGGTGAAATGCTCATGTAAAAAAGGTTTGAAAACCTGAGGAAGACTGTGTATAGATTTTAACACTTTGGACGCTTGAGCATATGCAAATATGTGCCATGTTTCATAAGTTTTTAGCTGGATTATGCATTGATGAGGAGAAGAAACAATCACCTCTGGGAGTTAGAGGGTGGATAAATAGATTTGTTGTCCTACAACAAAAGACACAACAAAATTACATATATTTGCAAATTCCATGACAATGTCATACCCTTGAAACCCAGATATTCTGTCAAAACCATTAAGACAACCGTTCAAATGTTCCATTAGGTATCCCCTATCTTCTCCCTGCCCTCTTATCAAAGATGTTTCTAAATTGTTCTTTCTCTACAAGCACCTCTCATTTAGCCAAAGTTTCTGTTTCTGACCAAACAAACAATCATTAGAGGTACTCCTCAATTTTTGTTCTCAACTAGTCCAACACAATTTACTGTTCCATTTAGACATCACTACTGGATAGCAAGTGGGAATTTTTCCAATCATTATTGATTTTCAGTTAGTGGAGGATCATATAAATCCATTGAAAAAATGAGATACCCCAAAAGTGACTTTATTCAATCATCCCTTCTGTTTACAGACTGTTTCTCTCTTCACACCCATGTCCTTCAAGGAATCTGCTTTTCTGACTCTATTTGTCACAATTATTAGCTATACCATAGAACTGAATTGCATCACAACCCTCTAAAGTAAATTAAATTTATGTTTCAGGTTTGATAAAAAATTTGTAAGGTACATTTTTTTGAGAGAGAAAAACTAAAAAACCCTGAGAACATCCCTGAAGTAAAAATTAGAAACAAGAAATTTAAAGCAGATCTGAAGCTAGTTTTGAACTGAACCCTGCTTCCTTAAAAGAAGAAAGACCAGGTTGAACTCACATGGGAATTACAAAGTTCCCTTTCACAGCTAGCATCCTGAACCCCCCCTCCTCCCCTGACCCCCCTCTGAAGACCAATTTAGAATAAATGTAACTCCCTGTTAAAACTTTCCACTATGGCAGTGAAGAGAAAATAAAATGGAAGCAACTCTTCATATAATTTTTAACCCTAACTGTTCAACATCAATTTTAAAAAATTCTGCAGGCACTCCTGTATCAGGAAAAAATATATGGATCAATAAATCGATCAGAAAATTATCATTTTCAGAGTGTATGAATAAACGTTGAAGTTTCCTCTATTTTTCTGGAAAGATACATCAGCTGTTTCACTGTCATGTCAACAAGCTGTTTCAATTTTGAACTTTGACTTTTTCATTATTCCCTCAGCAGACTTTTTAGGACAATTTAACATATCACTAAGAGGTGGGCCACAATAGCATTTCTGTTAACAATACATCACGATAATGATCATCTTTTAAGGAGTAAGACAAATTTAAAAGCACTTATTTTTTTGCGCTAACTGATAATGAATTCCACTTTTTGCATTCACGAACTAGACAGCTGTTTCTCTGTAAACATAGACCCGCTAAACAACGGTTACCTGACTATAATTAAACCCTCTGCTTTTAAAATTAACTTTGATATTTCTTACTTTCCCGAAATGTGAATATTTTTTCACAATTGCTTTCGACCAATTCGAGAGGAAAATTCATTAAAAATGTGTAAAATCTACTACAAAGAGATCGTAAAAAATTTGATCCCCCGTCTTCGATGGATGCTATCAGTAGATGTTTTGGAGCAATGCAAACAATATTGGAATGCATACAAGACGCTTCGCCTTTCCTGAAGGTTTGATCGATCAAACGAAAGTGATGCGAAATTCACAAAAGTTGTAAGTCTTCGAACATCGCATTATATGGCAACTTTTGTCGTCGAAAATTAGCTGTTTATCCCGCTCTTTCTGTAACTATAAACGGAAAGAGGTTTAAGGTTATTAAAGCTTTTCAAAGACAGTGATAATTAGCGTGATGCCACTAAAGCGATAAAAAGTCTCGTAGGACTTTTAATTTCGCTTTTTAAGTTATCTCACCTTCAATACATCCATGATCACTTTTAATGTGGTCGCAACGCTATCATCCTGCACTTCGATTGGTGCCTGGGCCGGGGAAACAACACTTCGGGACATTTTCTATCCAAACGACCAGCTGCTCTGCTACAGAAAAGATAATCGTTACCGTAAATCATTTGAATAGCCAAGCGCTGTCATAAGTTTACACACTTCTTCAAATATGGCGCCTTTGTTCACAGCCTCGCAACCGTGACGATCACTATCACTCTGGGGAACAGGGCGGGAAAAAAGTAATAATAGTGGAGTACCTTGCCCGCACCTGAGCTTAGAGCTCTTTGGGAACTCATCTTGAAACAAACTCTGAGGAATAAAAGATCAATGCAAATTCTATTTCGAACCTAAGCTTTGAAGTCTGGGTAAAGATGGAGAGTTAAAGGAAAGGATTGTAAAGGGGGGAAGGGAGGGGTGGGTTTTTTTCTTAATTAATCCATTTGTGTCGCAATATTGAGATCTGCTGTCTACGGGGAGTATGGAATTCTCTAAACGTTTTATGGTTGCAATCCTAAATGAATTGATGGCCTGTTGAACGTTTGGTAAAGGTGAGTTGCAAACTGTGAACGGATCATTTTCCATCCCTAGATTCATATTTCATTCGTTCAATCTAATTTCGCATTACTCTTTGCTTCAATTTCGCTGATTCCTAACAGTTCATCGGTGACCTTTAAAAGTTATATGTACAGGACCTGTCATTACGACAAAACTAAGAATCTGAGCTCAAGAAATATGATTCTTAAAAGAAACAATCTACTGCACACTCGTTTTGTTGATTTAAGAAAGGGGTGTTATCATCATAACCGGCCATTATGGAGGTTTGAAAGTACACGCTTATAATCGGTGTGGATTATTACAAGGGCCGAGAAAAAAGTGAAAAATAAGATTCAGTTACAAAATAAGCTACAAAATAAATAAAGGACGACCACGGTAAAAAATTGCTTCATTTAAAACGAATACATTCCTACTACGTAACTCACAATTGTATGAACCGATAAAACTACTCTGGAGAAATTTTCGCTGTGTTGTAAAGACGGGACTTCACTACTTTTGCATCGTAAAGCCACTCTTTGTCAAATTAGGTCTTGTAAAAGGGGAACAATGCCAATGCATGAAATAAATCTTGTTTTCTGGGTTAAAAATTTGTTTGAAAAAATAGGGTAGCGTGTCTCTCACAATGTTTTTTGCCCTTTGGTGCGATTGAAATTAAAACAACAACAACAAACTGTGACACAAAACCTTTTTAGTTTTAAAGTATAATTTTCAAATTTTATTTCCTTCCAACATCAATCTCACTGCAACAACTCAAGACTGTAATTTATTAAAAGTATGTTCTTCTGTTATGTGTTCTTATTTTTCCCTTTTTAAACCTCTGATGCTCCGATCAATGTTTTTCCAACACAGAGGACTGATGTGGGTGGACTTGACTTGCGAAAAAAAAAATTGATGAAAAAAAGGAATTAATGAATAAGTTGTGTTAAGAAAACAATTTGTTTAAATAACGAGATGACAAATTCTGCGAAGTTCACGTTCGTATTCATAAATAAGCCATATTTAACCAATCTCAACTACCTGCATTGGCTTGAGAAAGTGCAAATTGAAGAATTTCACCCTAAATTTGTACATTTAGAAAGCTTTGGATTCCAAATATAAATTTGTTACGTAATGCCAAACAAGAATGATTTTTCTCGGCTCAAATTAGCACAATAACCGTTGTATGAAAAGAGCCGTAGAACCTCTTTAGTTCTACATTTCTTTAATAAACATTCAATTGTCCTGCGCCTGTTAGCTTGAAGACAGACCGTCCCCGGTCAAATATTTTTTTCAGATGAAGAACTAACGAGGGATTGAGGGCTTCGTTTTAAGGGAACTTTTGAAATTTAGTTAATGGCATGATGACGGTGACACAAAAAATCAAATAAACAAAACTACCTACAGTGTGTAGTAAGAATTTCGCTGAGTGTTTGATGTGTTGACCTTCTTTTTTGTTCTTCTGTTTTACTACGTTGTCGATGTATTTGCCGGCGCAGTTTACTGAGATCCCAGTTTTTTTTGCTAAGGAATTCGTCTCAAGAGCTTCTTCCTTAAGATTTTATTTTTTGCGCGATGGAAAAGTTGGCCAGGTAACTATATTTCAATTTATTTATTTCAGAGCGAGAGCGCGCAATGCTGTTTCCAGATTCCTACTTCTCTGCTAAAAGACGTTTGGTAAATCATGCTATCGAAACAAGAACAGTCAAGAACTTGGATGACTGTGAGCTTATGTGCTACCTGAACGACAACTGCGTCAGTCTTAACTTCAAAAAGATTCAGAGAATAATCTAAGCAATAATAAACTCTGAGATATCAAACACACTTGAAAAAATATCGTATTTATGGACCGAAACGGTAATGCGGATGTGTTACCTCCATTGGCCGTCAACGAAGGGTAATGTGAAGGCTCACGAATCGTACGTTTCTGGAGCTTTACCGCTTGTTGGAGGAGTACAAGTACAACAACTATTTGAGGAAGAAACTAACCAACAAAACCAAGGAAAGGTCGCCAACGAAATACAAGGCCTTCCATCTGTTCATCGGCCAGTATCTTATTCTGGGAAGGCTTCTCCAGCGTCAGGAAGGAGATCTAGCTTGAACGGATCGGGATCGCTGAAATCTAGAGGATTACCCATGGCGCCGGAGCAGGCAATGAAACAATTCATGCACAAGCTAACCAGCAACTAAGGAGCAAAAGAGGACATCTGTATTCTTTCACATTGCATATGCAATGAGATTCACTTTTCAGCTTGGCCTGTTATTGTCAAATTTTGCTTATTTTCCTGAAATCTGTCATTAAATTCACGTTATACCGAGGTAAACCCTATCATTGTTTGCACTTGTAGTCTTCTCGGCTCATGATGACATTGTTTACATATCCTTACATGAGAACAGTTATAGTAAAGAAACTTTGCATTGTGAGATATTATGTTTTCTCTCACCTTTATCTTCACCACTGAATTGTTTTAGAAGCATATGCCAAACTAACAACAGTCTCTGAATAGCCATCTACATACGACATAATGAGCTCGACTACTACATGCCTGAAGACTCTTGTGTTTATTGGGAAAAGTCTATTGCATTTCAGAAGTGTAGTTTGTAATGTTTAAGTGTTCAACAGCATCAGTTTTAGTAGATATAGATGGTCTTGTATGTGCTCCAAACTCCATAGATAGCTCTATAAATGTTCAACTATGAAAGATTCACTTAAAAGAGTTCACTTCTAAAGTTTTTTCTTGGTGTCTTTTTAAGAAAGTTTTATCCCAAAATTTGACTTGCCAAATGCGTTATGCGGCTTATCAGTTAGTGCGGCTTGTACGCTGGTATTTATGAAACTCTTTGACAGTTTTTTAAACAGCAAAATATAAGTCTGAGACATTTATAGCGAAACCACTGTTACGTATAGCCTTTTTCAAAACACAGCTTTTCAGACAGGGCCCGCATTTTCAAGTCAAAAAAAGCCAGCACAGGAAGACCAAAACTTTACATGCATTAGTGAGGCCAACATAAAAGCACATGCAAACCAAGTGCACTTGTACCCTGGACTCTGAGTAGTGTTGCCTTGTATAGCATTCACATCAACTATGCGCTTGGCTGTTATCCCAGATTTAACAAAACTTACTCTCACTCACTCATGCCCGTTATGGCGTGTGGCATAAGGATCGCCACGTCTGCTGGTTCCGGGCCTGCTTTTGGATGCTACCCCAAATGTGTTGCATGGTCTTCAGCTCTGCCTCCACAGTTCGGCACCCGGTGTTTCTTAGTCTTCTCCTCTTGCGCTTTCCTTCAAGTGTCCAGTGAAGGGATGTGCGAGTGATGTTGTCCTGCTCTCTCCTCATGACGTTCCTAATCCATCTCCATCGCCTCAGCATGATGATGGTCTCCATACTGTCTTGCAGCGGGTGAGTAGCTGTTGATAGGAGATGGTGTCAGGCCAAAAGATTTGCAGGATTCTCCTCAGGTTCTTTCTGTGGAAGACTGACTGCTTGGTGATGTCGCTCTCTGTCATCCTCCAGCATTCAGAGCCGTATAGTAGGGTGGACATCACACAGCTTTGGTAGATACTCAGCTTGGTCTTGGTGCTGTACTGAGAGGAACTCCACACGTTGTTGCGCATTCTGAAGGCGTTTCTGGCCTTCTTGAGACGGTTTTTGATGTCACTCCCTGCTCCTCCATCATGCCTTTCTGTGCTTCCCAGGTAAGTGAGCTCTTCAGTTGTTGGCAGGTCTTTTCCGTTCACTTGAACTGGTCTAGGATTGGACACGTTCAGCAGCATCACTTCCGTCTTCTTTTGGCTGATCTTAAGGCCAACCTGCTGTGCGTAAGTACTGATTCGGGTCGTCTTCTCCTGCATGTGTTGGTGAGTATGGGGGACCAAGGCTAGATCATCTGCAAAATCGAGGTCCTCCAGAGTTGAGAAGGGTCCAGCTGATGCCCCGTGACTGATCTTCTGTTGTGTGCCTCATTACCCAGCCAATGGTCATGTTGAAGAGCATCGCCGACATTGTACAGCCTTGTCCGATGCCAGTCTTCACTTCAAAGCTGGTTTCGCTGTTGTCCACTCTGCATGTTGTTGTAGAGGCTTTTGATGATGTCGATAATCTGCTGTGGTATACCATAGGCCCGAAGGGTGCGCCACAGACTTTCCCGGTGCACGCTGTCAAAAGCCTTCTCAAAGTCTACAAAGTTGATGTGGAGTTGTCTCTACCACTCAGTGCACTGCTCTATGATGTTACACAGGGTGAAGATCTGGTCTGTGCATCCCTCTCCTTTCCAAAATCCTGCCTGCTCTCTTCTCAGTCGTTGGTCCACTGTGTCAGCTATTCGCTGGGTGATGATCTTGGCCAGTATCTGGCTGAGTACAGATAGTAAGGTGATTCCTTGCCAGTTGTTGCAGTTTTTGAGGGCACCTTTCTTTGGAATCTTCACAATGACTCTCTCTGTCCAATCTTCAGGTAACTTCATCCCCTCCCAGATGTCTGCAAAGAGCGGCTGGAGTAGGTCCGCTGCTAGCTGTGGATCTGCTTTAAATACTTCTGTACTGAGATTGTCTTGCCCAGGGAATTTTCCGTTCTTGAGGGACTTGATGGCTGCTATGATCTCTTCTTTTCCTGGGGGATTGGTATTGAC